TTTGTAATAGCTAAAACTTGGAAGCAGCCCAATTGCCCATCAACTGGAGACTGGATAAAGAAAATGTGGGTTTAGAAAAATAAAATGGAGTACTACTCAGGCATCAAAAATGAGAATTTAGAGACATTTGTAGCTAAATGGATGCACAATCAGGAGATACTCTTAGGTGAAATAAATAGGACACATGTGTAAATACCGAATAGTTTCTCTAGTGTGAGAAACTGAGTGTAAATAAGGACTGAAAGATATAATAATGTGAAATAGAAAGAAAAGGGAGGAAGGGGAAGTGGGAGGGGTAGGTGAAAGGAAAGAAGGGAATGGAATTAATATGAGAAAATGAAAAAATGGAAACAAAGTCTTTGCAAATAGGAAGGGATGGAGGGGTTGATGGGAGGGCAGGGGAAAGGGGAAAAAATAAGAACCAAGAGAGATTATGTAAAGGTGCAAGTTTCCAATGATGAATGTCATTATATTGCATACCTAAAACGTACCAATAAAATTAATTTTTAAAAATAACTTTTTAAATATAGATGAAGAGAATAAAGAAAGAAAGGCAGATTCAGAAAATCTCTGCCCCTTCCAACTAATCCAGTTCTCTACAACCCCACCCCTTTCAAGAACACAGCCCTCTGATTGACTGTGATGCATCCTAGAACTGCCCAGTCAGACGCAAGCAGCTACTTTAGCGTCCCTCCTAGGGCAGTGTGTTCTCCATGACCCCACCTCTTTTAAGAGTGCAGCTCTATGATTGGCCGTAACGTAACCAAAAGCTGCCCAATCGCGCACTAGCAGCTGCTTTGGCGTCTCTGTGTGAGTAGGAGGAACATGGCCGACCGGCTTACGCAGCTGCAGGACGCTGTGAACTCGGTGAGGAATTTGATTCCATTAGTGTCTGTCTTTCTCTCTCCTGAGGTAAAAGGAGAGAGGATAGAGGCCCGAGAGATAAAATTTGGAAGTGGGGAGTCAGGGCTTTGGCAGAAAGCGCCCGCTCTGAGCGGTGGGAGGCGGGTGCCCCACGGCGCCTGGAGCAGGGCACCGGGCCGTGTGGTCTCGGCCTGACCTCTCCGGCGCTCCTGTTCGTTACCAGGGCTTATGGGATCTCCTGTGGAGGGGGAGGAAAAACAGCTTTTTTTCCCCCATAAATTTTAATCTGCCAAAATGATCCCTTGCTCCTGCTGATCAGATTTCTGTAGTCAAGCGTTAACCGAGTATTTCTTGGCCAGCACTTTGAGGTTGGGGCAGGAGTATTGTGTAGGTGAGAAATTGTTTCGCCTTAGTTCACTCCTGTAGGACAGCGCCTTGTCCCATTTCTAGACCACGCTGTAGCTACATCAGTTTGGGGAGAACTGACGTCTTTATGATAATGAACCTGGTAATCTTTGTATGTCTTTCCATTTATTTAAGTCTTCTTTAATAAAATCTATTCTCTGTAAAAGTTTAGATCTCTTAAACAGCTCCCCTAACTTTGTTCCTTCAGGTTATTCTTTTTCCTGCTTATTATTTCTGTGCTAAAGGTCATGCAAGCAAACGGTATGTCTATGTAGACATACTGTTTATTCCCATTTAGAGTTACACAGCTTCCCATTGGTAATTGTGCTTCTTAGTGTCATTCTGACCTAATGTGATGTCCCAAGTAAGCTACCTGCCTATACAAGAAATTTTGCTGCCTGGAAAACCTAAGTACATGGTCTCCTGGTGGATTTTTTTTTTTTTTTCCTTACTGGAAGCTAGTAACTTGGCATTCTTGTTAAGATGTCAGTCTCTGTGCATTTGAAATGTGTGAGTCTATTTGTGAAAAACTCATCTATCCTAAGCCAGGCGTGGTGGCCCATGCCTGTAATCCCAGCACTTGGGTGGCTGAGGTGGGAGGATCGATGTGAATTTGAGGCCAGCCTGGGCTACATAGTGGGTTCAGAGTCATCCTGAAATACATAGCAAGACTCTGTCTCAAAAAAAACAAACAAAAACCTGATCTATCCTACATAAATAAAATAGGAGCTTTTAAGGCTGAGCCCCTAAACGTTGATGAATCCACCAAGGTAAAAGTCTACCTTGCAGTGACTTGCCCGGGCGGCCGTCCATCTCCCCTCGGGGAGATACTCCTTTGAGGTTTAACAAAATCAGATTGTTAGATGCTACTGAATAGAAACGTTATTTGGGGGATATTTTTGCAAGTTCGTGTATGTCTTGTAACCAGGACAGTAAAAACAAAGTGAATATGGCCTAACTCTAGGGTGAGCATGTTAATTGGATTTCAGAGAGAAGCCTTTAGGTTAAGTAGTATGAGTGCCTGTTGTGTATATAAGCACTATTGTGTTTACAAAGAGATACTCCTTAAGGAGGCTGGAAAGATGTCAAATACTCAAGAGATATTTAAGTGATGTAAAAACAGTATGTGGTTAGGGAGTTACAATGAATCAAGTGTTTTCAACACGTGTTGAAGTAGATCGGAATACACAGGTACATGAACTAAAATAGAAGGAATCATAGCATTTATCTAATCATAATTATTAGTCTATTAACATTTGTTCTACCCTCTGAAAATTCTCTGAATGCAGAAACTATGTCATACTCACTATATCTTTATTCAGTAATTGCCCTGGAATTGTTGAATTGATTTCCAATTACTTATTTATTTAGGATACAGGAGATTGAACCCAGGCCTTCACACTAAGCTAAATCCCCAGCTCTTTTTATTTTTTTGGTACTAGGGATTGAACTCAGGACCTTGCACTTTCGAGGCAGGCTTAGAGCCACTGAGCTAAATCCCTCCCCTCCCCTCAGCTCTTTTTTTTTTTTTTAAAGTGTTTTATTTAGAATCAAAGTCTTGCTAAGTTGCTCAGGCCAGGCTCAAACTGGCAATTCTTCTTGTCTTGGCCTCCCAGAGCTTGGATTACAGACATTGGCCACCAGTGTCTGAAGCCACCAGACACTGGCTTCAGCAAATATTTTGAATAAATGAATTAATCAGTTTTCAAAGTTTTTCCAGGACAAGAGACCCACTGTGCTGAATATGGTTTTGTGGTTTTTTTCTATTCAAATGACAATGATGTGATATAGAATATTTCAATTAACAATGAAAAATCCTGCCGGTGATTTAGCTCAGTGGTGCTGCCACCTGCCTCACAAGCACAAGGTCCAGAGTTTGATCCCTGGTACCACACACACACACATACACACACACACACAATAAATTTAAAAAATGAAAAAAGCTACTAGTAGTATGATAATCTAGATATATATAGCTTCTGAGCACGTACTACATTACAAATAGCAAAACATGAAAAAAAATAGCAAAACATGAACAAAGCTATTCAGTCATAAACTAGTTTATGAGAAGTCAGGTAGATTTGAGGGAATAGTAGTAGAAAGTGAATGAGTAGAATTGATTTAGATTATCAAAGGCTTTGAAACAGCCTGAAAGTTGGGGATATATCTTGATGATCATGGTGGAATGAACTCATATTTGGAGCAGGGTAAAATAACATGGTGAACTAGAAAATTATAAGGAAGCTATTTAGAGAGGGAGCTGTTGATTTTGAAATTATAGTAGAGAAACGTAGTGGAAATGCTTACTCACTGATTGGAAGTACAAATTAAGATTGAGGGGTGAGAATTAGTGAGAGGAATTGGTGGGGAAAATAGGAGTGTTTAGTTTGAAGATAGTAAGGAGTTTGGTAGTCTCAATCTTCAAAAGTGCCAAAAGAATGCATTGTGAGCACTAGGCATTTGCAACTTGAGTCTTAATGAAATACTTTTCTGATTCCTTAACATACCTTTTCTTGAAGTCATTTTCTCACTGATTCTTTCCACTTGCTTACTGAATTCTTAGAAAAGGAATCATATAATTTGTAAATGATTTTTTTAAAATGAAACCTGGGGCTGTATTTAGACATTTGCCAGTCAAATTTGCTGTCTCCTTGCCCCAGAAAGTATTTGCTTATTGCTTGTAATAAGTTTTGGCATTTATTTCTTATTCTACTATTTTTATAAGGAAAGAGATTATTTTATATGTATTTCTGTCTTAACTGTTTCAACTAGAGTGATACTAAATTTAACTTCAAGATTGACAGCAAGCTTAGTTTCTTTGCATGATTAAAATATTTAATCTATATTGGAGTGTGGTTCAGTGGTACAGCACATGATTAGCATGTGCAAGGCCCTGGGACCAAAACAATAATCATAATAGTCATTGCTAATAAAAACTGGCATATTTTATACAAAATTACTCCCTTCTATTATCATTATTCCCTTCCTCATAGATCATTATTTTTAAAACTGTTCTCATCATGTTACCATTACTGATAAGATCTTTAAAATTGATAAATCTTGTCTGACCTTGACATGTTCTCTTTGGCCCAAGCTTGCAGATCAGTTCTGTAATGCCATTGGGGTACTGCAGCAATGTGGCCCTCCCGCCTCCTTCAGTAACATTCAGACGGCAGTTAACAAAGACCAGCCAGCTAACCCAACAGAAGGTACGTGCGTTTTCTTAGCTTCTCTTAGTTTTATTCTGACCTTTTAAATGATCCTTTAAAAATAGATTTATTGAGGGCCAGGGATTTAGCTCAGTGGTTTCACTGCCTGCTATGCAAGCTCAAGGACCCGAGTTCGATCCTCGGTACCAAAAAAAATAGATTTATTGAGAAACAACTTATTTATGGCTTTTTTCTAAACATTTTGTTTGAGAATATTACAAGTTTTGTCATAAGTGAATTTATTACAGTTAATCCACACATTTCATAATTCTGCTCATATCAGATAACAAATTCTAACTCCTTTAGAGGAAAGCTTGTATGAATTTAGCTTTAAGAACCTTAGTAAGGAAGGCATACCACTGACAGATTCTTTGTTCAGGAGACCACCATATTGTCCTCATAAATGAAATGAGGTACATTATGCTTAATTTCCAATTTGAGCTAATATAAAGTTAAATATATAATATGCTAGGTGTGTTGAAATTATTGTTTATCACATTCTGATGGGGCTATACTTTGTATGTCTTGCTGTAGGGCAGCTCTGAACCACGAGGGGTACGAGCGTGATTGTCCCATTGGGCGGCTTGTGAGAGTCCCATTGGGTGGAACAAGCCCACAATGTGGGACAGTTACACATGTATCACCAGTGGTTCAAGCTGGTGGGAACATGTTAGTCAAAGTTCTATGAACTTTTCCGATTTCATTAACTTAAAATTTAATTTCTGTTTCTGAAAACTTGAGCTTCCCTGATATCCTAACTTAGTCACATCTTTCCCTAGAGTACGCACAGCTTTTTGCTGCATTGATTGCGCGAACAGCAAAAGACATTGATGTTTTGATAGATTCTTTACCCAGTGAAGAATCTACAGCTGCTTTACAGGTAAAAAATCTCTTTTCTTGGGCCAGGGTTGTAGCTCAGCGGCACAGCACATGCCTGGCAACACAAGGTCCTGAGTTTGATCCCCGGTACAAAAAAAAGTCTCTTTCTTTGAGACTATACTAGTAATAGAGAATTTATAATTAAAGGAGATAGGTTTGATACCTTTTGTTAAATTCAGAGTTACTTTAAGGTTAAGATTGAAAATAGGTGTTTTATTAATAGTGAGCTAGTATACTCTGTTAAAGGTTGTGCTGAGTATATCTTTGTATCTATCTGTATATCTATGTCCTTCCTAAATTTTGAGCTACAAGGAAGCCTCCTATCTTCAGTTTGTCTTTTTTTTTTTAATCGGTACCAGGGATTGAACTCAGGACCTCTCACTTGCCAGTCAGGCATGCACCACTGAGCTAAATCCCCGGCCTGAGTTTGTCTATTTTCCTAGCACAGAGTGAGAGTAAGGTGGCCGTGCATGGTGGCACATGCCAGTAATCCTAACACTTGGGAGGCTGAGGCGGGAAGATGGCCATGAGTTCGAGGCCAGGCTTAGCTACTTACTGAGTTCAAGACCAGCCTAAACTACATAGCAAGACCCTGAACAATATGGAAGATAGTCACCTACAGATACAGTACCTAGAGATTCCTGGTTAAAAATCCATTCTTTGTCTAATTCATACAGGGAAAATTCCGAAGTTATCTATATGAGTTTTGGAATTCTTGCTACTGAAAAATACATCACAACAGTTTCAGAGTCATCCAGATTTTAAAATAAAGACCTCTACTGCATTTTCTTTCTTTTTCAACTCTAAAGATTTTTAAATCTGTGTCTTATAAAGGCGGCTAGCTTGTACAAGCTGGAAGAAGAAAACCATGAAGCTGCGACATGCCTGGAGGATGTAGTTTATCGAGGCGACATGCTTCTGGAGAAGATACAGAGCGCACTGGCCGACATTGCACAGTCCCAGCTGAAGACGAGAAGTGGCACCCACAGCCAGTCTCTTCCAGACTCATAGCACCCGGAACACCACGAGCAAAGCCAAGAACTGGCTCAGTGCATTATGAATTCTGCATCAGATTGACATACAAGCCTTACCAAGAGTTACAGAAACAGACACTATGATACTTGTTACCTTTTTAGCTATTTTAATAATCTTCTATTTTCACTCTTGATAAATAAGCTTACAAAATTGTGATTGAGCCGGTTTAAACCATCACTATGCTATCATTTTTTATCTAAATGAAGATATGAAGGCAGATATCGCATTAATGTTCATAATACAGTTAAACAGATACACTATGAAGTTCTGTCTTTTTTTTTGTCTTGCGTGCTGGGGAATGGAACCCAGGGCCTAACACAAGCTATGCAAGCTCTTTGCCACAGACTTACACCCCAGCCTCAAGTTCTGTCTTATTTTTGCAGTCCTTTTACAAATCATAACGTCCCTCTAGCCAGGGGTATAGAGTGTTTCAATTTATGTTGTCCTTTAGACACCTCTTTAGAGGTAGCATTGTATAAATATGGAGCTTTGAGCAAAGGTTTCTCAAACTGTTGCTTTTAGGAAACATAAGGAAGGGCTGGGGATGTAGCTCAGCAGCACAGTGCCTGCCTGGCAAGTGAGAGGTCCTGAGTTCAATCCCTGGTACCATATAACAAAATAAAACAAAAAAGGAACATAAGGAAGGTTAGTGTGGGTAGATGAGAGTTAAGTCATTTATGCAAACCTTTTGTTTTCCAGAACCTCATATCTATTCCAGTTAATCTCTACCTTGCTTTTACTTAGAAATTGTCTTGTCTATAGAATCCCAATGCTATTGTGAGAATTTTTCTTTATCCTGAACTATCTAAATATTCCCTTCTTTGTTTTTGTGTTGGGAATTGAACCGAGGGCCTTCACCGCAGCCCTTTTTTAATTTTTTTATTTTGAGGCAGGATCTTAAGTCACTAAGTTGGCCAGGCTGGGTTCAAACTTGTGATCCTTCTGCTTCAGCCTCCCAGAGTGTTGGGATTATAGGCGTGTGCCACCATATGCAGTTTAATACTCTTTTTAAAACTGCTTTTTTCTGTCCTTAATTTGCTTGTCATCACAGTGAAATATGTTTCCTGAATCATGAATTCCTTCTCATTATCTTTATCTGAAGATACTGTTTTTCTTTCTTTCTTTTTCTTTTTTTTTTTTTTTTGGTTGTTTGAGGCAGGGTCTCCCTTTGTAGTTCAGGCTGGCCCTGAACTCAGTATGTAGCCCAGGCTGGCTTCAAACTTGGGGTGATCCTCCTACCTCAGCCTCCTGAGTGCTGGGATTACAGGCGTGCCCACCATGCTCAGCTTGAAGATACTGTTTTCTGATCTCACTAACCTCTCAAAGTTTCTTGGCTGTATTCTAATGAGACTAGAACATACTTCTTCTATATTGATCATTTCTGTATCAATTTCCCCATTCCCCTGTTTTATTGCTAACATTTGTGTCAGCATTATCAACTATATTCATCCAACTGTTGGATCTCACCAGTAATCTCTGTTGGAAAGCTGAAGTTCCACATAATAATTGGTTCTATCTCCTAAAGTGCTTTTTTCATAATATCTTGAGCTATTCTTGCCACAGTTTGCTGTTTAGTGTTTAGGTTTCTGGAGAACCATAAAGAACAACAGCACTAGGAACCTAAGGCAGGAGGATCACAAATTTGAGCCTAACCTGGGCAACTTAGTGATTTAGCAAGACTCTGTCTCAAAAAATAAAAAAAGTGCTGGGGATGTAACTCAGTGTAAACTAACAACAAAGAACAATAGAACATTCTGTATATTGTTTCTATCATAAACTATTTTGCAGTTCTTGAAAAATACTGTATTTCAAAGTTTAGTAGCATTCAATCCCTGGTACCAAAAAAACCCCCAAAAAACAAAGTTCAGTAGCACCAGCATTAGCTAAAATAGTTAGCAGTTTATTGGCTAGGCTTAGATATTTGTGAACTTTGATTTTTTTATGGGTACTGTCAATTAAAGTTTAATAACATTTTGTTATCACAGACATTTGGCATAAATCTGTTCCTTTCATTTGAGGAGAGCAGATTTGATCAGAATTGTTTTTAGAAGTATATAAGGTGTAATAAAGGATCCAGGAAGGTACTAAAGTGAAGGAAAAGTCATTGTCAGCTAGATTAAAGGAAGTCTTGATATAAAGGAATCCAAAACTCAGGAAGGGGACCTTTTCTTTCCCAGGATTGTTGAAGCTGTGACCCCAACACAGTAAAACATTCCCACTGCTTTTTTTTTTTTAAATCTCCACTCACTGCTTGTCCCAGGTGTAGTCACAGTTGTTAGAAGTGTGTGGCATAGCAGGGTAACAAAAGCCTCAGCTTTTCAGTTGGAGGACTGAGAATGAGCCTCAGAGATCCCATTGCCTGGCATACAGATAACTGGGCAAAATTAGCAAGCATAGGAAAAGACAACTAGTCAATACCAAAAATCCCAGATTCATGTATGTAACAGACTAAAACTTTTCCAAGATAACTGAATACTTTTGAAATGGTCAGAAAGTTCCAGCAAAGAAATAGAAGGTACAAAGGCTAACCAAATGGAAATTTTAGAACTGAAATGTTTAATAATAAACACACCGGGCAAGCTCAATGTAGATGAAAGAGAGTCAGTGAGCTGAAGGACAGGTGACTGAAGATTACCTAAACAAAAGACTAAATTGAAGAAAAAGTGAACACCTCAGAGACCCAAGGGGCAATAGGAAAATATCTAATAGCCATGTGTGAGCAGAAAGTGCAGAGTTAAATAGTATTTGAAGAATAAACTGGTGAAAGAAAAACTTTACATATTCAAGAAGCCCACCAGACCTCAAGCAGAAAAATAAATCTGTCCCTAGATGTGTCACAATCAAATTTCTGAAAAGATATTAAAGATACTGAAAACAGCCACAGATACAACACATTGTCTGTAGGAAAATAACGACTGAAAGACAAGCGTATTCCTCACCAGAAACTGTGAAGGTGATGAAGCCGGACGATAGGGGAAGTTAGGCAGATGGGCACAGCTCCTGGATAGTAAACCCGAAGTAAACTAAAAGGGCTAAGTGAGTTAAATCCCAAAGGGCCCAAGTAATTAACTTAAGCAAACTGGCCATCAAGGCCTAAAGGAATGCAAGGGGACAAAGAACAGGTCCTTAACCAAATGAGAGAGACCCTGAAAGAAGAGAAATGCAAACTAAGCAGCTTGCTTTCTGGACGCCAAAGGGCTACCTGCAACCAGGCGCATCCCTGCTTTCTGTCAGGTACACCAGTCCCCCAAACTGTAAAAGCCCAACAGACCTAAGCATCTGTGGTTTTACCCTTCCTTGATGAGTGAGGAGCTCTCTTTCATTCATTTGAATAAACACACATTTGGCCATTTCCCACCACTTCCTGACTCCTGTTTTGTTGGCTTCAATCTTCAGTGCCCCAAAACAAGGACCCAGTAGCTAGAAGGAGCTGGTTGCAATCGGAAGTAGCATTACATTTAGAGAGAGAGAGAGAGAGAGAGAGAGAGAGAAGAGAGAGAAGCAAAACACTTGTCAACTCAGAAACATCCAGGAAAAATACCCTTCAGAATGAAGGTGAAGTCAATACTTTTTTCAGATGAAGGAAAACCAGCAGAATTCATTACCAGCTGACCTGAACTGTTAAAAGCAGCTTCTCAGAAAGGGAAATGGGGCGCTGGGGATTTAGCTCAGTGGTTCTGCCGCCTGCCTTGCAAGTGGAAGGATCAGAGTTTAATCCCCGGTACCAAAAAAAAAGAAAAGAAAGGGAAATGGTACAGCAAGGGTGAAGAATGCAAGATGGAAGGGTAAGGATAATAGACTTCTAGAGGTTTTAAAAATTACATTTGATGGTGGATAGAAAAAAATTAGCATTTCATATGATTCTTGGTCTATGTAGAGTATAAAGGCAGGAGAACTAAGTTAATCTAAATGGTAAGATTTCTACATACCACTTTAATTCACTTTTTGATGCTGAGGATTGAACCTAGGGCCTTGTACATGCTAAATGTGTATTCTGTTACTGAGCACATTTTTTTTTTGGTACGGGGGATCGAACTTGGGACCTTGAGCTTGCTTTCGAGGCAGGCACCAGAACGACTGAGCTAAATCCCTGGCCCTGAGCACGTAGTTTTTAAATGGTAAAAAATATGAATACTAGTAAACTATGAGTATTTGTTTATTCCTTAGAGCAATGACTTTTAAAAATACACAAATTTTAAAAAAGGTTCAAGTAACTCACAGGACAGTAGGAAGTGAACACAGAAAATGAATAACAAAATACAGATGATAAAATAGCAGCTCTAAATTTTGTCCTAACATACCAATAATTACATTAAACGTTGATGTTGTACATTGGTCTAAATCTAGAAATTAGGGAATACCTATGACTCTTTTGAGGTGCCTAAAGTCTAGCCTTTATTCACAGGAACTATAGGTTGGCTTTTGTTGTTGTTGCTGTTTTGTTTTTGCTCATATAAGTTTAATAGCCTGGGGACACCATGATCAATGAACCAACTACAAGATTTCTGTAGGTGAAACCGTTTTGATTACTGCTCTCGGCCTGATGCCAGTTACAGTAACCAGACTGTCTTTATTTCTGGAAACTCCGTTCTTGTCTTTTGTCGCTCTGCTTCCCATCATCTCCACTGTGTGTGTTTTTTTAGCAGTACTGGGGATTGAACCCAAGACCTCATGCATGCTAGAAAAGTTCTCTACCACTGCATTACTTTCTCAGCCCTTTTAATTTTATTTTCTGCAACAAGATCTCAGTAGGTTACCCAGACTGGCCTCAAACTTGTGATCCTCCTGCATCAAGCTCCCGAGTAGCTGGGATTATAGGTGTGCACCACACCAGCTATCTCCTTGGATTTTAAGAAGCCAGTTTCAAAGAGAACATCTTTTACTACCCTTCCTGACCTGCCCCAAATTCTGTTAGATCTTTCAAAGATAATGTGACTCTTCACCAGTGCTTTTGAAGAAACCCCGTGAAGAGAGCATTCTCTGAATCCATCCAGAGGGTATAGGATGTAAGTCATACAAAATGAATTCACCCCACCATTTCTGCCTCCGTTAGTCTTTGGATACCATTCTCTGAATACTAAAGACATGAAAGCATCTCACTTTCATTTAAGTCAACCTTGTGTCTGGATTTACTTAACAAACTAAGTAAATTGCTTGTGATAATTTAAATAACTTTTACCGTAGATCATTTACTACAGCAAGGGGGACATTTTAGTCCAGTGACATGAGAAAAAACCCTTCATATTTCTACCCTTAAGGTTCTG